AAAAAGACAGTAAGGAAAGCCACCGACCGCCTCCTGCCCACTTTACAGGATGCAAAGCCAATTCATCTACTCTGTAGACATGAATGGGTACTGGAGTTAATACACAGATGTCAGTTTCAAGAAGCTAGTAGATGACTAGGCCACACGGGCTGGCGGAGTTCGGATCTATAATGGGCGATGGAGTCATTATTGGGTTCATGAGAGCACTCCTGCTCGGAAGTTACCATATTCTACCCCACACCGTTCCGTTCATTTACAGTCCGAATGATCACGTTGGGTGATTAACTTTTTGCTGAAATATAGTAACGCAGAGCCAGTGATTCTGCTCATAAACTAGGATGAAAAAGACTAAAGAGCTCTCCCTAATAGAAGTCAGGCAAGCAACCTATTAAAGTCCATTTTTTTACAATATGTGAGGGGAGGGGATTAGACATGCTAACCTACCAGCGTATTGTCGGCTGTCTCGTCAAAGGCGTAGTCAAAACGGAATGACTGATTCTCCAGGTACTTGGTTAGGTCAACCTTCGTTTTGGGCTCGTGGACGAGCACCTGTTGTTTGTTGGGAATTGTGAGAACATCAATCTCTCGTCGAGCCAGCTCTAGAGGATGGGGGGGGAGCGATGTAAGGTATTTTAATATGATTACAAAATGTCCCACACTGATTGAAGAAAAGAGTTCCCTGCTTTTACTGTACACATACAATAGTGCGACTTTCACAGGTGACAAGAGATGCAGGATGCGTAGAAAAAAAGGTTTGCTCCACCAATGGTAGATGGCCGCTCGCCGATCGCGGAACGGGACTCACTCGCCCCGCACTGCGGCTAGTTTTATAGGTAGCAGAACAGGGAGAAAAGGGAAACTAGAATGGCCATTATCAGCTTAGTATCCGCAGCCTTACTCAAGCCAAGGTGCTGCGACACCCGTGACTCGGACAGCGACCTGTTGGTTAGAAGTCCAATGCCCTAACCAACTGCGCCACGAGGTCGCTAGGACGGCTAATCAAAAGGTCGCGAGTTCGAGCCTCGGACTGGTGCGTAAAATGCAACCCCACCTCCACGCTAGTGCGCGCC